AGCATCGCTCGTCGTCATCATCATCATCATCATCATCATAATCATCATCATCATCATCATCATCATCATCCTCATCATCATCATCATCATCATCATCAGCAGCAGCATCGTCGTCGTCATCATCATCATCATCATCATCATAATCATCATCATCATCATCATCATCATCATCCTCATCATCATCATCATCATCATCATCAGCAGCAGCAGCAGCAGCAGCATCATCATCATCATCATCATCATCATCATCATCATCATCATCATCATCGTCAGCAGCAAACGTCAGCATCAGTATCATCAGTATCATCATCAGCAGCAGCATCATCAGCAGCAGCAGTATCATCAGCAGCAGCATCATCAGCAATATCATCAGTATCATCATCATCATCATCATCATCATCATCATCATCATCATCGTCATCGTCATCGTCATCGTCATCGTCATCATCAGCATCAGCATCAGCATCATCATCAGCATCATAATCCCAACCAGTATCATCATCAGCATCAACATCATCATTGCCATCACCATCACCATCACCATCACCATCAGCATCATCATCATCAGCATCATCATGATCACCATCACCATCACCATCACCATCACCATCACCATCAGCAGCAGCATCATCAGCATCATCATCAGCAACATCATCGTCGTCATCCGCATAATGATCATCATCATCACCATCATCATCACCATCATCATCGCCATCAGCATCGTCATCATCATCATCATCACCATCATCATCATCATCATCATCATCATCATCCCATTTACCCTCCCCCTCCTCCTCCTCATCCCCCTCCTCCTCCACCTCCTCCTCCTCATCCTCCTCCTCCGATCACAATTCTTCTCCCCCCCCTCCTCCCCTCCCCTCCTCTCCTCGCCATGCGTTAGAGTTCCTCCGCCTCGCTTGGACATACGATGGGGTCTTTCCTGAACAGCGATGGCATCACTGGAAGCTCAGTGCTCGTCCAGGGTATGCGAAAGACTGATTCTGGCTCCACCGCGCAGCAGACACCAGAAAACAGGCACAACAGAAAATATCGCCAACGACGGGTCACTTCTGAAAATCCGAGACTTTGCTAAGTTGCAATGCTGGTCGAAAAGACGATCCCAAAGTTCAGCCTTGTGCCAACATTCGAGATTATCATCGATATCCTCTATGGTGAGCTCGGTCGGTGTTCCAAAAAGCCGATGTGTGCAGCGAGGAGGAGGACGAAGAGGAAATGGGAAGGGCAACAGGAGCAGCAGGACAGCAGAAGGACGAGGAGCGAGTGTCCTCCCCCTCATCCACGCGCCGCGCCCGCACGATCGCGAACGCGGGCCTGCCGTACATGAAGTACGGCTAGGCCAGCGGCGACGCGGCCCCACCCTCGCATCCGAAGCCTAACGCCCGGACCCGAACACCCTTGCCCGAACCCCTGACGCCCTGACCCGAACGTCTGACCCGAACGCCCTCGCCGAAACATATCTGCACTCTGACACCCGGCCTCTAATTCTGAACCCATCCCGGCGAGCGCGCCTGAAGTAGAGAAAATCTGCACATCCTCGACGTCTCGCGCTCTTCCTGGGCGTTCTCTGAGGGCACTTGTAGGGTTAAAGGTAAACTTTCTGTGGCTATGGGCCTTGTCGGCCCGCCATGGCGCGGGGTGGAATGGGGTTTTGATGGGTTCCATATCTGGCCTCGCCAGGGTCCATGGGCAGCCCGAAAGTACCACAAAGAGGTCATGGCAGAAAAAACGGACAAAGGGTGAGGAGGAGGACGAGGACAAAGAAGGAGGCCTTGATGGCATTCTCCGCCGCTACCGCGTCAGCCGCGGCTCCCCATGAAGGCCTCAAGGCCCGCAAACGCCCCAGGGAGGCCCCTCCCATGATGGCCCAAAGGAAGCCCCAGTCGCGCTCACGGCGGGGATGGAAGGGCTTGAGTGGTGAAAAAAGAGGGGGGGACGATGATGATGACGACGACGACTCCCACTTTTCCCAAACTTCCTGCCACCCGCGGTGCTCACTGTGCCCCTGAGGCCAGGACTCATTGCGGGCCTTCGGGGGGATTTCGGAAGGCTGGAAAGCGCTCCCCAGACGGTTCAGGAGGCCTCCGAGACGGTGCAAGAGCGCTCGAAGACGTCCAAGATGGCTTGAAGACGGTCCGAGAGGCACACTAAAAGCATGGACGTTGTCCAAAAAAGAGCTGATAACGTTGGGCTTTTGACGCCCTCTTGGGAGTGTTCTCGGAGGCCTCGAGGGGTACTCCAGATTTCGTAATAAAAGGGAGGGGGTCTGGACCCTCCAAGACAAGCCATTTCAGACCCCCCCCCGTGGGAGAACCCTCCAAAACACCGTCCCCAGACCCCCCCAGGCCCTCCAAGATAGCCTGGAAGAGACCCCCCCCGAAATGAGACCCCCCTGCCTTTATTACGAAATCTGGAGTATCTTGGAAGCCGCACGGGCCGTCTGGAGCCCATCTTGGGCGTCTTCTAACATTCGTTCGGCGAGTCGGGGCACCTCTGGCAGAGGAAGCGCAAGTGGAGGAGGGCCGGCAGGGATGGGGCGGGCTCGAGTGGTGAAAAAGGAAAGGGGATGAGAAGAGGAGGAGGAAAAGGAGGATTCGGGGACGCCGAAAGGCGCACGACCCCCCGAGCCTGAGGTTTGGAGGAATTTGGAGGGCTTGAGGAGCCGTCCCTGGCTCCCCTGGGCTCACCCGGCAAGGCTCCAGGGCAAGTTGGGGGGTGCTGCACGGCATGTTCCCAGACCGCCTTCCGGTAACATGATTGGGACGCCCCCTGGAGAACCTTCTGAACGCTTTCTCGTGCTCGTGAACCGTCTTGGAACCCTCTTCAGGGCGTCGGGCGGTATTGCAACCGTCTT